AATTCATCTCTAAAATTTTAACTTTTTTTTTTTTGGAGTGTATTCCACTTGTGAAATGTTTCGTTTTATGAAAGTAGGATTGGATCGTGAGTTGGCCAAACATCGTCAGTTGGCCAAATATCCTCAGTTGGCCAAACATCGTCAGTTGGCCACTTAGTTGGCCAAACATTGTTTTAGCGTTTTTGTGTAATACATGAATGTATTGAGACGAAAACGAGAGAGAGAATGGAATATTTGTGGCACCATTCCCTACCTGGTATATTTGTGGCACCATTCCCTACCTCCTATATTTGTGGCACCATTCCCTACCTCCTATATTTGTGGCACCATTCCCTACCTCCTATATTTGTGGCACCATTCCCTACCTCCTATATTTGTGGCACCATTCCCTACCTCCTATATTTGTGGCACCATTCCCTACCTCCTATATTTGTGGCACCATTCCCTACCTGGTATATTTGTGGCACCATTCCCTACCTCCTATATTTGTGGCACCATTCCCTACCTGGTATATTTGTGGCACCATTCCCTACCTGCTCTGTCCTTGTTACAACCCACCTTTAGTCAATTCACGGCATTATTTAATCAGCTAGTCATGTTTAATATGTAGAGGATAGTGTGACGCGTCGCCACAACATACAACATACATGCGCCGATGCTAGTAGTAGACTCTCCACATACAACATCCACGGACTGATGATACTAGTAGACACGTGTAAGCCCAACACACAACATCCAACACACAACATACAACATCCAACATCCCCTCATTTCTCTAGTTGTGACACACACGGACATGATGCGGCCAGTGCGTCAGACGATTCATTCATTAGTTTCCTATGTAACGACAACTTTAGTTGTGCGCGTTGCTTAGAGATGGACACCATTGCGGCAGAGGCGTAGCGAGGGGGGGGGGGGCGGGGGGGGGGGACATATGTCCCCGGGCGCCGACCTTAGGGGGGGGCGCCAAATTGACAGTTTGAGGGGGGTGCAAATGAAAAGTTCGAGGGGGGGTGCAAATCGAAAATTTGCTCCCGAGGGGGGCGCCAAATTGAAAGTATGTCCCCGGGCGCCGGGAAGGGTCGCTACGCCTCTGCATTGCGGCAGTGGGACAAGCTCTACTGCCCGTTATATGGCTGAAAATGTTTGGCTGATGTAATACCTAGCCTGCAGTGGACAGGAAAAAATAGAATCGTATCTAGCTAATTATCGTATCTAGCTAATTATCTTTTTATTTTAAATGACGAAAAATGTCACGCTGACCGCGGATATTTTAAAAATCCAGTTGAAAAAGTAACAAAAACTACAAAAACAAAACATTTCATAATCCATCTTTGTTCAAACCGTTAAAAAATGGCTAGAAATTTTAGCGAAGAACATCCGAAGCGTCATTCATCCACTACAGTAATCTTTGGTTTTTTTTTTTTTAAATAAAAAACTTTTTCCATGAAAATCTTGCAAATTAAAACATTAGCGAAATTTAAAAAACAGTGCGTGACGTAGGGCTGCATGGGAACCTTGAAGTTTTGAATTTTATTTAATGAAGCTTAGAGACGACACATACCGGATTCTTCTAGAATAGTCATCACATATTAACGAATTTTTGTCTCTACTTTTTTCTCGGTTAATTAATGCCAGTTAAATAATCAAATATACGGTTGCCAGTTAAATAATCAAATGTACGGTTGCCAGTTAAATAATCAAATGTACGGTTGCCAGTTAAATAATCAAATGTACGGTTGCCAGTTAAATAATCAAATGTACGGTTGCCAGTTAAATAATCAAATGTACGGTTGCCAGGTAAATAATCAAGTGTACTGTTGCCAGGTAAATAATCAAATCAACTATTATGACTGAACAATCACCCAACCAACAGATCTCCGCCATTTTTGTGGACCCGCCCACCTAACTGGTTTTTCACGATTGTCAACCACACAACTATAATCATGCCGGATCTAGATATCTAAACCACACAACTATAATCATGCCGGATCTAGATATCTAAACCACACAACTATAATCATGCCGGATCTAGATATCTAAACCACACAACTATAATCATGCCGGATCTAGATATCTAAACCACACAACTATAATCATGCCGGATCTAGATATCTAAACCACACAACTATAATCATGCCGGATCTAGATATCTAAACCACACAACTATAATCATGCCGGATCTAGAAATCTAAACCACACAACTATAATCACGCCGGATCTAGATATCTAAACCACACAACTATACTATAATCATGCCGGATCTAGATATCTAAACCACACAACTATACTATAATCATGCCGGATCTAGAAATCTAAACCACACAACTATAATCATGCCGGATCTAGAAATCTAAACCACACAACTATAATCATGCCGGATCTAGAAATCTAAACCACACAACTATAATCATGCCGGATCTAGAAATCTAAACCACACAACTATAATCATGCCGGATCTAGAAATCTAAACCACACAACTATAATCATGCCGGATCTAGATATCTAAACCACACAACTATAATCATGCCGGATCTAGAAATCTAAACCACACAACTATAATCATGCCGGATCTAGAAATCTAAACCACACAACTATAATCATGCCGGATCTAGAAATCTAAACCACACAACTATAATCATGCCGGATCTAGAAATCTAAACCACACAACTATAATCATGCCGGATCTAGAAATCTAAACCACACAACTATAATCATGCCGGATCTAGAAATCTAAACCACACAACTATAATCATGCCGGATCTAGAAATCTAAACCACACAACTATAATCATGCCGGATCTAGAAATCTAAACCACACAACTATAATCATGCCGGATCTAGAAATCTAAACCACACAACTATAATCATGCCGGATCTAGATATCTAAACCACACAACTATAATCATGCCGGATCTAGAAATCTAAACCACACAACTATAATCATGCCGGATCTAGAAATCTAAACCACACAACTATAATCATGCTGGATCTAGAAATCTAAACCACACAACTATAATCATGCCGGATCTAGAAATCTAAACCACACAACTATAATCATGCTGGATCTAGATATCTAAACCACACAACTATAATCATGCCGGATCTAGAAATCTAAACCACACAACTATAATCATGCCGGATCTAGATATCTAAACCACACAACTATAATCATGCCGGATCTAGATATCTAAACCACACAACTATAATCATGCCGGATCTAGATATCTAAACCACACAACTATAATCATGCCGGATCTAGATATCTAAACCACACAACTATAATCATGCTGGATCTAGAAATCTAAACCACACAACTATAATCATGCTGGATCTAGAAATCTAAACCACACAACTATAATCATGCTGGATCTAGAAATCTAAACCACACAACTATAATCATGCTGGATCTAGATATCTAAACCACACAACCATAATCATGCCGGATCTAGATATCTAAACCACACAACTATAATCATGCTGGATCTAGATATCTAAACCACACAACTATAATCATGCTGGATCTAGATATCTAAACCACACAACTATAATCATGCTGGATCTAGATATCTAAACCACACAACTATAATCATGTCGGATCTAGATATCTAAACCACACAACTATAATCATGCCGGATCTAGATATCTAAACCAGTATCTATTCTTAGATCGGGATGATTTGCATTGGTTCTAGGCTTGCGTTGGTAATGTCGCCACCTCCCCCCAACCTGTGATTCTCAGTGTTTCTAGACTTTTGTTGGTCACGTCCCCCCCCCCCGACTGATGATTTGCAGTGGTTCTTTTGTCATGTCCCCACCCTAGGTAACGTCCCTGACTGCCGTCTACACACCACCCCTTAGGTAGATATGCCGGCCATCATTCACGTGACGAGTCAAATGTTGATATCAGTATCACAGCAGCTTTTATTACTACCATATGCGTCAAATGTTGATATCAGTATCACAGCAGCTTTTATTACTACCATATGCGTCAAATGTTGATATCAGTATCACAGCAGCTTTTATTACTACCATATGCGTCAAATGTTGATATCAGTATCACAGCAGCTTTTATTACTACCATATGCGTCAAATGTTGATATCAGTATCACAGCAGCTTTTATTACTACCATATGCGTCAAATGTTGATATCAGTATCACAGCAGCTTTTATTACTACCATATGCGTCAAATGTTGATATCAGTATCACAGCAGCTTTTATTACTACCATATGCGTCAAATGTTGATATCAGTATCACAGCAGCTTTTATTACTACCATATGCGTCAAATGTTGATATCAGTATCACAGCAGCTTTTATTACTACCATATGCGTCAAATGTTGATATCAGTATCACAGCAGCTTTTATTACTACCATATGCGTCAAATGTTGATATCAGTATCACAGCAGCTTTTATTACTACCATATGCGTCAAATGTTGATATCAGTATCACAGCAGCTTTTATTACTACCATATGCGTCAAATGTTGATATCAGTATCACAGCAGCTTTTATTACTACCATATGCGTCAAATGTTGATATCAGTATCACAGCAGCTTTTATTACTACCATATGCGTCAAATGTTGATATCAGTATCACAGCAGCTTTTATTACTACCATATGCGTCAAATGTTGATATCAGTATCACAGCAGCTTTTATTACTACCATATGCGTCAAATGTTGATATCAGTATCACAGCAGCTTTTATTACTACCATATGCGTCAAATGTTGATATCAGTATCACAGCAGCTTTTATTACTACCATATGCGTCAAATGTTGATATCAGTATCACAGCAGCTTTTATTACTATCATATGCTCAGAAAAATGCCGTTATGAGCTAGGTCAGTATTGTCTTAAAGTCAGACAAATGCTACGACAAACGTCACAGAAATGCCGCAAGAAACGCTCCACCAAATGTCCCACCAAATATGCCCCAACAAATGCCCCACCAAATGCCCCCAGAAATGCCCCAGCACACAAAAGAAAAGAACTTACTAAGCGGGGATGTCTGGAAGCGCCGTGCGTGGTGGAAATGTGAGTCCTGGTCGTTGAGCCATTGACATCTGGAGGGCTGGTGGGGCTCTGTGGGGGGGGGGGGGGGGGGCATCAGTAGATTAGAATCTCATCATTTGATTACAACTTCATCAATAGATTTTAATTGTTAGACTATGTAATATCATCGTTAGATTACAACACAATCATTAGAGGTTTAATATACTCATTAGATTTTAATATAATATGTAGATTCTAATATAATCAGATTTCAATATAGTCAGCAGATTAGACTATATAATAATCATTTGATCATAATTTCATATTTGGTTATAATATAATCATTAGATTATTTTAAAATCAGTAGAATTTAATACAATAATTAGTTTTAATATATTTATTATTTTGTTTAAATTCCAACGTCAGATTAAGATACAATCAGTAGATTAAACTATAATTATAGGGCTTCAATTCTTTGAGGTAAACTATATTTAAGGTTTTAAAATATAATCATAAGGTATTAATATATTTCGGGTTAGATCTAGCTATTTTGTCAAATTTGGCCTCTAGCTTAAATCTATTTTGTCAAATTGGTTTCTAGCTTAGATCTAGCTATTTTATGTGGGCCTCTAGCTTAGCTCTAACTATTTTGTTATGTGGGCCTCTAGCTTAGATCTAGCTATTTTGTCAAAGTTAACCTCTAGCTTAGATCTAGCTATTTTGTTATGTGGGCCTCTAGCTTAGATCTAGCTATTTTGTCATGTGGGCCTCTAGCTTAAATCTGTCCTGTTTAAAAGTTTCTAATGTGTATCCTGTCTGACAATCGTCTGTCTACGGTTGTTGTGTAGTGCACATCTCTCAAAGGTCAGAGGTCAGCGTCAAAGGGCCTGTCTCACAGGTGACACCTGTGTGTGACGACATCAGCATGCGACAGACCCATAATGCACTGCGCATCTTGACGTCAGAGCCATGGGCGGCCAATGTAAGCCTGTATTCAGATGGATGATGGATGATGGATGGAGCGGTTTATCCATCGTGGCCAGACAACTTCGCCACACCTGGGTGTGTGCTGATTACTGCGGTGGGCCGAGTAACTCAACAGTTACTGCAGTTTTTTGAGTGATTTACTAATTACCACACCGATGATTAGTGCAGTTGTTTGAGTGATTTACTAATTACCACACCGATGATTAGTGCAGTTGTTTGAGTGATTTACTAATTACCACACCGATGATTAGTGCAGTTGTTTGAGTGATTTACTAATTACCACACCGATGATTAGTGCAGTTGTTTGAGTGATTTACTAATCACCACACCGATGATTAGTACAGTTGTTTGAGTGATTTACTAATTACCACACCGATGATTAGTGCAGTTGTTTGAGTGATTTACTAATTACCACACCGATGATTAGTGCAGTTGTTCGAGTGATTTACTAATCACCACACCATTGATTAGTGCGATGGACCGAATAATTGAGACAAGGTTCAGTACACAACAATAAAATTAAGCTGTCACTTCAGCTACTGCTGCACATCGACACAACTACATCTCTTAACAAACCACATTTTAAGTCAGATTAAACAATTGTACACCATTTAACGATCCTTATAACAAACCACATTTTAAGTCAGATTAAACAACTGTACATCTGACGGGACTTATGACAAACCATACATTTAACACCAGTTTCTATAACATGAAACAAATGTAAGAAATGTAAGAAATGTAAGAAATGTAACACATGTAACAAATGAACTGACCTGCAGCTGAAGCCGCCGCCCCGGGGGTGGTCATGTCACTGGCTCCTCCTTGCTGAAACAAGAGAAAAGTTTCTTGTTAGACCAAACATACAGGATAACATTGGGAAATTGGACTAAATATAGAGAGTATAACATTTGGACATTAGACCAGAGGATAACATTTGGACATTAGACCAGAGGATAACATTTGGACATTAGACCAGAGGATAACATTTGGACATTAGACCAGAGGATAACATTTGGACATTAGACCATGTGTAGGATAAAATTTAGACCATGTGTAGGATAAAATTTAGACCATGTGTAGGATAAAATTTAGACCATGTGCAGGATAAAATTTAGACCATGTGTAGGATAAAATTTAGACCATGTGTAGGATAAACTTTAGACCATGTGCAGGATAAAATTTAGACCATGTGTAGGATAAAATTTAGACCATGTGTAGGATAAAATTTAGACCATGTGTAGGATAACATTTAGACCATGTGTAGGATAAAATTTAGAACATGCGTAGGATAAAATTTAGAACATGCGTAGGATAAAATATAGACCATGTGTAGGATAAAATTTAGACATTAGAACATGTGTAGGATAAAATTTAGACCATGTGTAGGATAAAATTTAGAACATGCGTAGGATAAAATATAGACCATGTGTAGGATAAAATTTAAACATTAGACTATTCGAACTATTCACTTTTACAAATTTTCTATGTAAGTCTAATGTTCAGAATTCAAAGTTACGGTGCGGCCCTATTTAAAAAAAAATTATTGTATCCTTCAAGTCTAATGTTGACATTGTCAGGCACATTTACGATACTGTTTTGTAGTGAAAGGTCTGAGAGAAAATTGGACGAAGACATTATTCACTGGGTACAAGCTAAGCCCAACTACTGAGTTGTTAAAGGAATATTTATCACATTTTTATCTGGCCAACTAGGCCTAGCGTTTACTATTTATAACAATTTATGTGTGCCTACATTTTCATAGCCAGACGTAGCTTTTTACTTCTGCTGGCATTGTTTATAAAAATGATAAGTGTCACATCGTGTGTTCTAAAAACTAAAACTTCGTCTCCCATTTCCATCTACTCCGTTGTTTAGTTAGGGCCAGTGTGGCTCCTGTATTTAGAAAACTTGTGGTTAAGTAGGGCCAGTGTGGCTCCTGTATTTAGAAAACTTGTGGTTAAGTAGGGCCAGTGTGGCTCCTGTATTTAGAAAACTTGTGGTTAAGTAGAGCCAGTGTGGCTCCTGTATTTAGAAAACTTGTGGTTAAGTAGGGCCAGTGTGGCTCCTGTATTTAGAAAACTTGTGGTTAAGTAGAGCCAGTGTGGCTCCTGTATTTAGAAAACTTGTGGTTAAGTAGAGCCAGTGTGGCTCCTGTATTTAGAAAACTTGTGATTACATTAGGCCAGTGTGGCGCCTGTATTTAGAAAACTTGTGGTTAAGTAGGGCCATTGTGGCGCCTGTATTTAGAAAACTTGTGGTTAAGTAGGGCCAGTGTGGCGCCTGTATTTAGAAAACTTGTGGTTAAATAGAACCATTTTGGCGCCTGTATTTAGAAAACCTGTGATTACATTAGGCCAGTGTGGCGCCTGTATTTAGAAAACTTGTGGTTAAGTAGAGCCAGTGTGGCGCCTGTATTTAGAAAACTTGTGGTTAAATAGGGCCAGTGTGGCGCCTGTATTTAGAAAACTTGTGGTTAAATAGGGCCAGTGTGGCGCCTGTATTTAGAAAACTTGTGGTTAAATAGGGCCAGTGTGGCGCCTGTATTTAGAAAACTTGTGGTTAAATAGGGCCAGTGTGGCGCCTGTATTTAGAAAACTTGTGGTTAAATAGAACCATTTTGGCGCCTGTATTTAGAAAACCTGTGATTACATTAGGCCAGTGTGGCGCCTGTATTTAGAAAACTTGTGGTTAAGTAGAGCCAGTGTGGCGCCTGTATTTAGAAAACTTGTGGTTAAGTAGGGCCAGTGTGGCGCCTGTATTTAGAAAACTTGTGGTTAAGTAGAGCCAGTGTGGCGCCTGTATTTAGAAAACTTGTGGTTAAATAGGGCCAGTGTGGCGCCTGTATTTAGAAAACTTGTGGTTAAATAGGGCCAGTGTGGCGCCTGTATTTAGAAAACTTGTGATAACATTAGGCCAGTGTGGCGCCTGCATTTAGAAAACCTGTACTAAGTTCTAATATGTTGGTTCACACACAATCTAAAAGACCCCATCATCAGTGTTTGGATGGTTGGGGCCCACAGAGTGGTGTGTCCAGGGCTAATTCTCGGCGTCCACCCCTCTCCTTGTCTGACCACAGCCGGAGGCCTCCAACTAAATGGCTCGCATTGGTTACGAACCCTGGCCGGTGACCTTTACTGGAAGGTCATACGTTCAGTCATGGTGTGTTAGCATCAGTTGTTTGATTTTCAAGTTTCCTCTCCTAGATGAGTTGCCGTCTATATATCGAAGTGAAGTTTGGTTTCCTACATTACTCGTGTACCATTGGATTATATGGAGATAGAGAGTTAATGACGCGGGTTGCTATGAGTTAATGATGAGTTATGTATGTGACTTCAGTAGTTCATTGCTATGTTCTGTATGGGGGTTAAATATTATATCAAATAAAAGTACAGGAACTACGCCCCACCCCTCGGCGCCCTCCTTCACACTGCACCCCCCTCTCCCCATGAGAAGAAACTAACACAGAATCAACAAACAACTATGAAATCTATACGCCAAAAACCACTTTAAAAACCATTGTAAAGTAATAATCAGCGGAGAACTGGAGATATTCCACATGTACGAGAAAACCAATTGGCTTTTTAAATGAATAGACGTGCTCACATTGGTTCCATGCGTTTCTATAGTAACGGGAGAACAGCCTGCTCGTTGGCTTATGAAACCCAAGCCGGGCACGTATTATGGCAAATGACATGTTATTTATTCTTGAATGCACAAAGATGAAACGCTTAAACTTGGATAATTAGACGGACAATTAAAGGTTGGAATCCGGTGTGCGCATGCCCGCCCATGACGTAGCGTGGTCCGTGATTAAGACGGAGGTGAGCACTGATTATAAGTAAATGTAAGACTCGGGGGGAGATAATCTCACGGTCCGGGTGTTAAACACAGTCCCAGGGACCCAGTTAACCACAGTCCCAGAGACCCAGTTAACCACAGTCCCGGGGAGCCATGTGATTGGCGAGAATGCCAAGTGGGATGAAGCGACAACGACATTACCATAGGTAGGGCCTAGATGAAACGGATTGCGTTTCCCTCACCTGTAACCTGAGGTTGATTACGTTTCCAGAAACACGAGAAGTGCTCATTTTTTTTTTGGACAAAAAACTCTCTTCATCATCGTAGGCCGCTCACAGATCTTAAGGCAGTGATACTTTTTTTCTTTGAAATTATGCACACAACGAACATTAAAACAGCAATATAGGAGTTTGAGATTTTTATCAGCACAAAAAAGTTTTATAAAAACATTTGCAGTATTGAGTAACAAATTATTTTTGATAATGCATGTTGAAATCCACGGGTACATTCCGTTATTCTTTAAAGCATGGGATCCGGGTTTTGGGGTTCTTTACAGCATGAAATCTGGGGTTTTGGGGTTCTTTACAGCATGAAATCTGGGGTTTTGGGGTTCTTTACAGCATGAAATCTGGGGTTTTGGGGTTCTTTACAGCATGAAATCTGGGGTTTTGGGGTTCTTTACAGCATGAAATCTGGGGTTTTTGGGGTTCTTTACAGCATGGAATCTGGGGTTTTGGGGTTCTTTACAGCATGAAATCTGGGGTTTTGGGGTTCTTTACAGCATGAAATCTGGGGTTTTGGGGTTCTTTACAGCATGAAATCTGGGGTTTTGGGGTTCTTTACAGCATGAAATCTGGGGTTTTGGGGTTCTTTACAGCATGAAATCTGGGGTTTTGGGGTTCTTTACAGCATGGAATCTGGGGTTTTGGGGTTCTTTACAGCATGAAATCTGGGGTTTTGGGGTTCTTTACAGCATGAAATCTGGGGTTTTGGGGTTCTTTACAGCATGGAATCTGGGGTTTTGGGGTTCTTTACAGCATGGGATCTGGGGTTCGGGGTCGGTGAGTAGAGATCACATTTTTCCAACATTAGCCCTGTACCAAAAGGCGGTTCTCTATGAGTTAGTTACACCTGAAGACTTGTATCCCATTATTATCGAACAGTTGTATTTGCTCGTGTCAGTATCGAACAGTTGTATTTGATCGTGTCAGTATCGAACAGTTGTATTTGATCGTGTCAGTATCGAACAGTTGTATTAGATCGTGTCAGTATCGAACTGTTGTATTACGTTTCAGTATCGAACAGTTGTATTTGATCGTGTCAGTATCGAACAGTTGTATTAGATCGTGTCAGTATCGAACTGTTGTATTACGTGTCAGTATCGAACAGTTGTATTTGATCGTGTCAGTTTCGAACAGTTGTATTTGATAGTGTCAGTATCGAACTGTTGTATTTGATCGTGTCAGTATCGAACAGTTGTATTTGATAGTGTCAGTATCGAACTGTTGTATTAGATCGTGTCAGTATCGAACTGTTGTATTTGTGTTAGTATCGAACTGTTGTTTTTGATCCTGTCAGTATCGAACAGTTGTATTTGCTCGTGTTAGTATCGAACTGTTGTATTTGATAGTGTTAGTATCGAACAGTTGTATTTGCTCGTGTTAGTATCGAACAGTTGTATTTGATAGTGTTAGTATCGAACAGTTGTATTTGATAGTGTTAGTATCGAACAGTTGTATTTGATCGTGTCAGTATCGAACTGTTGTATTTGTGTCAGTATCTATACCTGCCACCATAAGAACTACATGACTTGTAAAAACAAATCACATCGCGAACTTGCGACAGCGACGTTGATGTCAAGATGACCTGGATCTTACTTGCGAAAAAATAATCTCCCTGAGATTTGTTAAAAAATGTATCTCATCGTTTTTTATGTGCAAAAACAAAAAGATGTAAATCAATAAAGAGTGTTGTATGTGCTAAAAGTGGATGTAAATCAATACATTAGTATCGTTTTGTTTGTGCTA